ACTGAAACAGAAGTAATAACAAAACATTTACTTGATAGACTAGCAGGCGTGATGTATCGCTACTGAAACAGAAGTAATAACAAAACATTTACTTGATAGACTAGCAGGCGTGATGTATCGCTACTGAAACAGAAGTAATAACAAAACATTTACTTTAGAGACACATTTCTTTGCCGAGAAATTACTTCTAATACAAAGCAGATTACTTAAACTAACACACAAAATAAAAATACTCATTTGCTATAAACAGTTTAAAAAATGTGTTAAAGGAATCTCTTAAGGCATTCTTGATTCAAATAATTTGTTGTAATAGTCGAAATGTGTCTGTTGCTTTCATTTATCTTGGATCTATAAAGATAGGGTAAATGTGAACTAAAAACATGTTTATGTTGTTGTTGTTTTTTTTTTTTTTTACAAAGATACCAAGTTGGGTATCTTGCTTAAAATATCACTCAGCAACAATTCGTCCACATCACTTCATTCATTATCTGATTGATATTAAAAACAAATAACCTATATCTAACAAGTAAGATACTTTGATCGAACAAAAATTCACGGCGAAACACTATCAATTCTAAAAATTCCAAAAAAGATGAAGCTCGTTCAAAACTCTCAACGAAACACGATTGAAAAAACAGAAAAGAAACTACTTATTAACATTACATAAACATGGACACTACCTTCAACTATACAGACACATCACCTTATGACACCTGTCGATGGCCATCTACAACGTACACTTAACATAAAATCTCATTAGGGTGTTATAAAGTAGGTAAGTAATCAAAAGACCAACAGAAAACTTTGAGTAAAACCGTTCTATGTGTATTATTTCGCGTAAAAGTGCTATAAAATTTTCAAAGTATATATCAAGTGAAGGAATGTTTTTGTTTTTTTCTGAATACTCGCAAGCTAGATTAAAAAATTAAAATAACGCATTCGTTAAATCTACCAATTTATTAAATTAATTTAAATAAGAATACACATCAGCCTGAGCATGCAAAAACTAATGGGCAAGCAAGTGAAAACATTTAGTCTAGTGCAGTGTGTCTCACTTTTAGGATTTGCAAACATATCTGTGACCATAAACTAATGTTATCTCAAGTAGGATCAGTACCTCTCTACACTTTTCTCAGGATTCAATAGAAGCAAAAACTCCGAAGATAACAACAATAAAGCCAGTAAACATAGAAAGAAAGTGCCTAACCATCTCAAACCGCTGTGTAGGTCCCAATTCTACAGATATGAAGTTATACATTACTTTTTATACACAAGTCTCATTGAACAGTCTGTATTCTATGTTCGATGATTTTTGTTTTTGGCCTGATTATCTGAATAGTTCTACAGATTTGTATGTACGTGCAGACAGTGTTATACCAAAAAATGTATCGTGCACCGAAAAGTTCTAACGTGAAAATGACAAAAGACTGTTAACGATACCGAACTCAAATGACCTTTAATGTTAATACAGAATACATTCGTCATTATACGTGTCATTATGAAGAAATAAAAAGTAGCACAAGAAACACCAACATAGCTCCTTGAATCATTACACATAATATAGATCAGTTTAACACTTTTGTCATGTTTAAGATTTTTGAAGTTAACCACTAATCCAAGCTTAAGTTTATCTTTTGAAAAAGACAAAACGAAAAACAATCTTAAGTGATTTATAGGTAATTTGTAGAATTTAATTAATTTTACATTCAGCGAAATTAATTTAGGACAATAAACAGTAATTACTACGATTGACCAAGAAAATTGTTCAATTAACCTGTTAAAAAAATTTAATATGGTGAATTCATTGAACTTTGTAAGGACAACTTGCATATATTAATATAATAAATTGTCACTAAAAATGCAAGCCATATCGCCATGTGTAACATAAGTACTTATATATTTGATTTATGGCGAATTCCTGGCCATTCAATAGTGCTATGCCACAATGGCGAGCTAGGAGGAAGAATATTAGTGTAGAGAAGTTTTCTTAAACGATTTAAAACCAAAAGTCACAACACGTCGAAGAAGTAAATATTCAATGTTCTCCCAGAGAGACTTTGTGTGTGTGTGTTTAGAAAGGAAATATTCAATGTTCTCCCAGAGAGATTTTGTGTGTGTTTAAGCGCAAACTATACAATGGGCCATCTGCGCTGTTCTCATTGCGAGTATCTAACGCAAGTTTTATGTGTTGTAAGCCTTAAGCTTAACGTTGCGCCACCAAGAAGTCCAAGAAGAGGTAAAACTCGCACAAAAGAGCATTTAGGAAAGCTACGTAATTAGATGCCATACTCTAAGCTAACCGGAACAACGCCTTCAACTCCATATGCGGGATTATTTTTTGTGAAAAAGAACCCTCTGACATCGCCATGAAGCCGAGCATTTCTCTAACTATCAAGCAAAACATAGTTAGCAAAGATGTGAAGTTGACGAAGATTCACAAGCTAAATATTCACGAGCTTCAAGCAATATCTCAAATTCAATGGCTGTTTTCATAAGAAAATATGGCCATAGAAAAATACTTGCCAACTCCTTCGATGGGTTCTGAAATGCTATTGTGACTTTAATCTGCTTAAACATGGTCTTGTAACTGATGTCCACGTACAATGGATAGTCTGTGAAAAGTTTATCAAAATGAGTATTCTAAAATTGACCTCGCCATCCTTCACAGAAGCTTGTTACATTCGGAGTCGAACAATAGTGTTTAATTATGACCATCATTGTATTTTCATAATCGAAATGACAGGAGTACATATAAGCTATAAAAACAATAAAAGTTTTTGAGCTATAGTACTATGTTGCGTGTCCTGAATACAGAATCACTCAGCAATAATGTATAAAGAGTGGATTAATAAACCTGAAGTTTATATATATTTGAATACATAAAAGTAACTACAAATGCGGTTTTATTCAGTTATGAAAGCATGCTAATTTACAACAAAATAATTAATTTTTCTTTCCCAAAGGCTCTCTAAACAGAAATAACAAGCTGAAAATCTACATCATTTAAAGACACTTAACACCAATTATACACAGCAGAAAATATTTGAAAAACATGAAAACAGGATCTTACCAAATATTTCCCCTTTACTAGCATATTCTGATACTAAATACACCATGTTCTTCGTTTCCATCACCTATGTAAGAAAATATTTCAATTAACGCTCATGCATATTAACTCCAAATGATTACTCGTACCACCATAACATTTTCTATAATCCAGCAAGTTGATCTTGAAACGACATTAATTTTTGGTAAAAACATTCGTATTATGTATATTATTTCCCCGAAAGGGGCCGAAGGCCGCCTGGAAGGGCCACCTGTTTTAACCTCTCACACTATTGTACAGTAATGTGTTGTCTGTCAGTCGCTCAGTAGACAATGAAATGACGTCACATAAGGGACGCTTAACGTTGCAATTTGTACTGTCGTGACGTCAGTAAAATGAATCTCGAGATGAATTATGCGCTCTTTAGACAACAACACGTGAGCTTCAAAAGCGAGAAATAAAAATATTTGTTACTCTTAATATCTATTTTTTTACTTTTTATTTACTCTTGAAACAAAATTTTCGGGTACCCTGCCGAAATTTGTTTGTTTGTAATTAAGCACAAAGCTACACAATGGGCTATCTGTTCTCTGCCCACCACGAGTATCGAAACCCGGTATCTAGCATTGTAAGTCCGCAGACGTTCCGCTGTGCCACTGGGGACCCCTGCTGAAGTATATCTAATATGAACTGCGTGTATTGTAGATGACACAAAAAATACAGAATCAAATCGTATAGACTAAAACATAAAAACTAAGTATGCGAGTAATGCATTTTTTAACTCAGTGTTTTAAATTTTATTTCGTGTAATTATAATCATTATTAAATAGAAAGAAAACTAACGTTTTAAAATAATTAACATCTGTCTTAATTTTTACCCACATCCGATGGTGGTGGTATTGTTTTCGCTCCTGTGTACATGAACAGTATAGCTCGAAAATATGTTATCTAATTTTGATCACATTTCGCATAATGACCTACTGAATAATGTTTGGTAAGTGTAGGTCAAAGATCAAGGTCACAATGAAGGTCAATCACTTTCGCTTTAATGGTAGTAGTTTGGGATTTTGATTGTTTGTTTGCCTGAAGTCATGCACAAAGCTACACAATGGGCTATCTGTTCTCTGCCCACCACGGGTATCAAAATCCAGTTTCTAGCGTTCTAAGTCCGCAGACATACCGCTGTGCCACTGGAGGGGGGGGGGGGGCTTGTGATTTTGAAAACAAAATCGACCAAAAATTACGAACAAATCGAGATAGAAAAGGGATCTTGGCAAGTACATTTGTGAGAGCGAAGAACTGTTTGGTGTATATTTTAGGCTGATTATCTACGGGGGTGGGCGTTGCGTTCTCTGAAGCTTTTCTAGAAAATTAGTGTTCGGAATGTTTATTTTGTAAGATAACGTTTTACGAGTAGATATCCAATAAACACTATGTGTTATTATTAAAAGAAATTTCAACAACATTTATTTGCCTTTTTTTATTCAAGGAGGTTTATATACTTGCTGATCTTGGATTTAGCATTTAATGATTTAAAATTACACAGCTAACAAATTCATATTGGTTTATCTGGTATATTTTATGTGTGCGCAATTTAAAAAACATAGTGTTAAGCGACCTATTAACAACGTATTTATTTTATATAATGTGTGTGTGTATATATATATATATATATATATATATATATATAACATTTCACATGCATATGATTTTAAAATATTTGCTTATGTAAAGTAGGTCGAATTTTATTGTCAAAATATATAAAAGGAACTGCAATGATACAAACACTGACTCCTTTTCATGACGTACTAGCTGATAGCCGTTGTACGCCTATCTGTCTGTGTATTCAAGGTGCGTCCTTCATATAAGCATGTATTGTTCTAGTTGTATATTTGAGTCACATTGAATGAATATAACTGATACATATTTGTATAAATCTTGTATTGAGTTATTGTCTTTGGGGTATATAGTATCACTGCTATAACAGACAAATAAAGATAACCTTTTCCTTGAAATGTCAAAGGTCAACCATTCTATTCTGCTTCAACGGTAAATCGCGATATGTAGTCACGCGTGGACGTGTAATCTGATATTAGAATTAATAATACGTTAGAAACGTTCTTGGGTATTTTTACCAGTAAACCCCAAGGAAATACAGGTTCAAATGGAGTTACATGCTCTGTTATTTTGTTGTCTTGAAAAACACTTAGATGAAATGAAAAATACTTTACAAACAGGAAGAAATATGTTATTCGACTTCAGACTTTAAAGAACGTTGTATAACTGTAGTATAAACTGAAAAGGGTAATTGTAAAATAAAACAAACACAAATATTTCATAATATATATTATATATCTACTCAGTGTATCTACTACTCTAAATTCTTAGAACAAAAAGTGTGATTAAGAGATTGGTTAAAATCGATAATACACTTTTTAAAATAATTTTATACTAAATTTACTTAAAAAGACAGCTTTTACAATTGTGCCTATTTACTTGGTGTGAGTCAAGGTTGTTTCTTCTAACTTGTCTTGTGTGTTTGGTTCCAGTGGATGAAGATTAGAGTTTCAATTTGAACGTTGTTGCACATCTT